AAATATTTAAGACTAAAAAAAATAAAAATAAATTATATTCATAATGATGTGACATTATATGTATTATCTTTTAATTTATTATATATTCAATAATATAGGAAGTAATTTTCTTATCGCATTATTATAAGGGAATTCTCTATTATTATAATCTTACGATTTGCGATTCGATTCATGATTCAATTTGTATTTTTTGTAAAACCGATACGAATCTATGAGTGAATCTATTTTGGAAGTAAATCTCTAGTAAATTGCACGATTTAAAATCAATTCACAATTTAATTAACTTTTTACGATGCATGCAATTCTTAAAACTATCGTATCCGATTTATTTTTGATCCTTTTTTTTTTTATTTTTTTAGTGAAAATGATATAATATAACTTTTAATAACATCTAAGTACCAAAATAACCAATATATATACATGATTTTTTTGTTATTTTAGTGATTATGATCGTGAAGTTTTTAATAAGATTAATCATATTAGTCAAACCCAACATGTTTTTCTTCTCATTTTTTTCCTTTATAAAAAATCATAATAAATCTTGTAAAAATGTTTAAGATTAAAATAACTTACACTGTAATTATCTATTTTTATTTTTTTAAATTAGATATAGTTAAATATTACATAGGTGAGGTCACTTATACCTTTTAAAATATTTTAGACTTTAAAATAAAAATATCCTAAATTTTTGTTCTTATTATCTGGTCATTGTTACTTTCTCCAAATAGCAATATCGTTGTTAAATTATTGTTATTTTGAAAATTGAAAATTTATATTTGTTTATTGTCTTTATTAAGAAATATCTAAAAAAGAAAAAAAGAAAAAAAAATGTAAAATGATGTTCTTACATGAGAATTTTAGTTAATTTATTACCTATTAAACTATATAATCATCATTCAAAATAATATTTCTATTGATTTAAATCTAAAAATTTCATATTCATGAAATATATTTAACATACAAGTAGATATATTTTTCTAAATAATTTTTTAAAAAATGAACGAATCTTGACGATTCACGATACGATTCGATTCGTAATTCAATATCAGATCATTTTAATTTATGATTTGAATCCCAATTTAATAATTATAAATGAATCTGTAAATCTAAAAATGTAAATTTCTTGTTTAATAATAACGGGACACACACTCAGTCAGGACAACACTCAGAGCCCGCACCATTTTAGCCTTTCTAGCTAAGCTTTTGTTTGGTTTTGCTTTGTTTTTTCTGCTCCATTCCATTCATTATCCCTACCAGATTATAGATCACTACTAGTAGCCTTGCCAGCCTAATTTAACAATAAAAACAAGGACAGCAATTGTAAATTTGTAATATTGCATATGCAAAATATTTATTTTAAAATAATATATGATTTAAATTCATTTTAAATATATATTTCATATTATATTGATTTAATTTTCACCACAAACTTAAATTCTAGAAAAAAATTTGAACTTTTTTTTTTTTTTTGGGTGAGAAACTAGACTTACTAATCATAAATTAGTGGACACAACTAATAAGTGTAATTGTTAAAAGGGTCTTGGTTGATAATTTAAATTGCATATATTTTTAATATATATTTTACACATATAGTAACATTAAAATGAAATGAAAAATAAAGTCTATGTTTTGGTACAAGAAGAATCATGCCCCCATTTTTAATATATTTCATTATACTTTTTGGCATATATCAACATTAATCATTATACATTGGTTAAATTTTCGTTGTAAAAATATGAAAGTAAAATTTAGTTGCACTTTGCACTTCCAAATTTTTATTTTGGAATTACTTTTGAAAGCCTCGTGTCAGATTCTTATAATAAAGCGTAAAAAAGCTCTATTTTTCGAACTTTTTATGTAAAAGTTCATACATCCAAAGTAATGTGACAATTTATAATTAACTACTTGTTTCTCAAATAAAAAATTATTTAATTCCTTACCAACCTTTTTGTGATTAACCTTAATATTAATGTTAGAAAACATATGTTTAGGAATTCTAAATATTTTAGATAACATATGTATTTTATTTTATTTTTAAATTTATATCTTTTTCTAAAAATATATCCTGGAACTTTTTAACAGATTTCCATTATGTTTGGTCAATTAACTAGTGCTAATTGTGGAGTACAATTGTAGCAAAATTTGATCCTATAAAATAATTAAATAAATAAACTATCTCTAAATAAATAAATAAATAAACAAAAAAAAATATTAAAAAAACAGAGATGATTTCAAGTGAGTCATCCAAACTACTTGATTCAACTTTTTCTCCTTTTAAAATCCTCTACCATCACATTCAAGAAAAATAATTTGGCCAACGATTATAATAAAAAATATTACATTAGAATTTATTTATTTTTTACCGAAAATATTACACTAGGATCAAGAGGTTATCTAGCATCAATTGGTCTTTGTTTCACAAGAAATATAATTAGAGAACTACAAGATGTTATTTATTGTATACCATGATATATTGAAACAAATTACTTCTATTATATTTTAATTGATTTCATAAACGATAAAAAGTATTTTTTTTAAAAAAACAAAAAGAAAGAAAACTTAAAATAAGTAGAAATTTTTTGAGAATTGAGTTTCATAATAACAAAAATCCGCCACGTAATTTTTCAATCGGAGTAAAAATAAATACATTAAGGATTTTAGAAAGGAAATATGCACCTTATAATTAAAGAAAAAAAAGAAAAAAAAAAAACATAATTTCATACTTTGTTAGTCATAACCAAAAAAAAAAAAAACAAGTCATAAGCAAACACCGCATGATGCATAATTAAAAATTTCATGAGTCATACTGTAACTAAAAAATGTCATAACTAAAAAAGAAAATTGATCATAACTAAAAAAGAAAAATGATATAATTAAAGGTGCATATAGTAAGAGATGTGCATGGTAGAATTCTCCTTTTAGAAACCCAAGTATAATAAAAAATTTATTTTAGAAAGTTAAATTAGACAAAGATTTAAATTAATAAAAAATAATATAAGTTACCAAAGATATTTAGAATTATTAAATACATGTTTCTTTTTTTTTTTTTTGGATTCATTAAATACATGTTTCCGTTGTCTACCAAAAACCTATTAAAAAATTAAAAAGATTTTAATTTATGTAACAAGTGACCAATTATAAAATACCACATCGCTTGAATGTAGAAGTTCCTCCATAATGAATTGGAGGAAACCTTGTCTTTTGAAATAATCTTTGGTGTACATTTAGGGTGCGTTTGATTGGCCGGATTGAATAAGAGAATATTAGAATCCGTCAGACTTAAGTCTTGGGACTGTGAATTCTCCAGACTATTTGGTTGGATTGGATATGTATCCTGTGTTTATTTTTCATGGGAGTACATATCTGGAAAAAACTATTTTTTGTGAATCCAACATTTGGTTGGATGGACTGGATAGCATAAATGAACAAAAAACTATTTTTCTATTTTTCAATTGTTTACTAAGTAATAGAAATATTAAACATATCTTTAATATTTTAATTATTTTTAGCTAGATTAAATAAAATTTTATTTTATAATGTTTTAAAATAAAATATCAATAAAATATTTATAAAAAATTATTTTAAAAAAATTAAATAAATAAAACATCAATAAAAAGTTAAATAAAATTATTTTATTTTTAAATTGAGACATTTAAATTTTATTAAATTTTATTAAATATAATACATAATTAAACAATAGAGGTTCAAAATGGTCATTTTACGACCTAATCCTAACAGTGGATAGCCCCCAAAAAATTGTCTCTTACTCCCTTAGGATTCAATAGCCCCCAATATCAGGGATAAGGAGTCTGGCCAGACTCCATGTCTGGCGGACTAAAAAAAGAAAACAAATGACGGATAAGGAGCTATCAATAAATTACAATCCAAATAGTGGATTGTCCCCCCTAATCCGGCGAATCAAACACACTCTTAGGCTATGTTTGTTTGGGTGGACATGAGCTTGGGATTGGACTAATAGTCCAATAAAATTATTAATCCGATGTTTGGTTAAACAATTGAAGTACGCTCTAATTATTTTAAACTTGACTATTAGTTAAGATAGGATACATAATCCAACGGATTTGTAGTCCTAGGACTATTAGTCATGGGAATGCTAATCCAGTCCGCCCAAACAAACATGGCCTTAGAGTTATCCGCCATGTATAAAAATAAACCTTAACAATAAAAATTATTCTAAAATGTTATCCAAGATAAAATTGAGTGGACAAGATCCATTTCAGAAATGACTTGAGTCAGAATTTTTGAAAATTGTAAATATTTTTTTGTCAAAATTTTTTATTTAACAGAATTAATTAAAAAAATATAATTTCTAACGGTTCACCTATATAATAATAAAATTATTTGAATTATTTGTTAAAATAAAATTTTAACATTATTAAAATCTATTAATCAACTTGATGACTATTTGTTATGAAATTAAAAATCTTAGGAGGCATAATGTAATTTCTAGAACTACAGGAGATAATTTGTAATTTAAGTAAATCTTAAAATTGTCTTTGTAATTTACCCTAAATTTAAATATACACTCTGCGCATATTTTTTTTTCAAGAATAAAATCCAGGTTAATTTTTCTAAGTTTCTAGAATTATTGATAATGTTAGGTCTCATTTGACTGCTCCAAAAAAAAAAAAATTTCCCGTTCATTTTATTTAAGCTTAGAGTAGTCTCACCATTTAGCTACAGTGGCAAATTCCTCGATAGTGTTGTACAGTAGCCTGCATACAGACCCAAAAGTCCATCTTTCACTAGAATTCTCAACAAAGCCTCCATTAAAGACCTGTTTGGCCTTAGTGGCATTTTTGACGAACAACCAAAAGACATCTGTAGTGTCATTTTTACACAAATTTCATAATTAAAAAAAAAAAAATGAAACACCAAGAAATTGTCAAGTTGCCAATAGCTTCCGTATTGTAGACAACTATCTATGGTGGTTGTCTACCCACAAAACAAAACCCGGCAGTAAAATGACACCTTCAAAGTTCGAACCCTAATATGTATTAACAATAATATGATATTTAGATATGTATATGACCGACAAAAACAGTGACAACGTTCACAGAAAGAAAAATTATTCTTTGGTCAAGGGGCGGCACCTGATGATACTACTTATCCATTACAAATTATCATATCTCTTAATCACTTAATATAAAATTATGAATACCACCTCTTTTACCAATCACAACATCGTTGAAACAACACATGACAGTATCCCTACCAACCAATAACTTCTAAGACAACACAAAAACGAAAAATAAAAATTAGCAGCAGAAGTATTACTTGAGACCACCTTTGGCTGGAGTGGAAATAGCAAGATCCGGCCAACCAAAGCAATCCCCATCGGCCAACCCGCCTCCTTCACCAACACGCCCTATCTGCCACATGTTGCAACCATCAGAAGAAACAACACTCCCACCACCACCGCCACCGCCAACGCCAACTTGCTCCTCCTCCTCCGTATGCCAAACGCCGTCGTCACCGAGCCCAAACCCCATTTCTCGAAAGCCAGACCCGGTGGTCCCGAGCCCGATCCCGAACCTCTCCAAAGCGAAGAACCCGGACCCTGATCCTGGCGGGTTCAGCAACGAACTGAAACTCTCGGTTCCGGGTACGTTCTCGTGAAGGTTCACATCGGCAAACAGCAGAGAAGCCGTGTCGGTTTTGATGGGTTCCGGGTTCGGGTCGCAGTAGGTTAAAGAATAAGGAGAAGAAGAAGAAGGTGGAGTGGTGGTGGTGGTCCGAGAGCGTTTGTTGGGGTTCCTGCGGGTGGCGCCGCCGACAGGAATATTGCGGAGGGTGCCACCGCGAGTCCAGTAGCGGCGGCAGGACTTGCAGAAGTGGCGGGGCTGAGATAGGTTGTAATTGTTGTAGTAGCAGAACTTTGTGTTCCTTGACTCGCATCGAGGGCATGCCAGCTCCGGCTCCGGCTGTTGGCTCCCACCATGTTGGATCCTACTAGCCGGTCGTCGGTCGCCGTGTTCTGACGACATTTTGCCCAGAATCCCTCTTTTCAATTTGTTTGGTTACGGGTGCAGGTAATCACTGGGGAGGAGAGCGTAGAGAGTAGGGAGTGTGTGCCAGAGAGAGTGAACAGGTGGATTTATACTGAGCGAGTCTGTGTATGGAACTTGTCTTTGTGTGTGTGTTTTTTTTGTCAAGAGTCTGAATAGGAACGAAAATTATAATACCATCCGAGTATTATGTGGTAATATTTTTTTATTTTATAAAGTATTGATACTTTAGAGTAAGTATTGCATCTGTATCAGATATGCGGACATTTTAGAGATATGTATGGGACATATTATATGGTGTGTTTTTTTTATTTAATTAATTTATTTTTAAGGGATATGGAGAATAAATTAGGATAAATTATATAAATAGTCCTTATAGTTTGGGATTTGTGTCACTTTGGTCCCTCACTTTTCAATTGTGACATATTTGACCATGAATTTTGAATCTTATTCCAAATAAGGACAATTGAATATATAATTAGATTTTTCAAAGGTAAAATTGTCAATTTGATAAAATATAAACTAATTTGACAAAAATAAATGTCAAACAAATATTTTTGAATTTTTAAAAATTATTTCTACCTACTAAAAATAAAATTATGTAAAATTGATAAATTTTTTAGACATTTATTTTTTTTTACTAAATTAATTTTTATTATCTGTTTGGATGATGATTATGTAAAATTAATTTTAAAAAATTAATCATGTAATTTTTATTAATTTTACATAATTTTATCATTGTGGATAAAAATAATTTTAAAAAAATTAAAAATATTTTTTGACATTTATTTTTGTCAAATTAGTTTATATTTTATCAAATTGACGATTTTACCGTTGAAAAATCTAATAATATTTTCAATTGTCCTTATTTGGAACAAGATTCAAAATTCAGAGTCAAATGTGTCATAATTGAAAAGTCAGGGACCAAAATGACACAAGTCCCAAACTATAGGGATTATTAGTGTAATTAACCCAATAAATTAAGGATCTATCAAGTTGTTTTTTCTTCAATTTTTTTCAATGTTTTTAATGAATGTTAAATGTTTAATATATTTTTAAAAAAATTTAAATATTGAATAAATCATCCATATAAAAATTGTAAGTATTAATTTAGAAATATTTCAAAAAAATAAAATTATAATTAATTTTTTTAATATTGATTATTTGTGAATGTAATATTAATAGCAAAGAAAAATATATTTTATTGCCTTGTCTTCGGGTTGTGTCCATATCCTTATTTTTTTGAAATCATCTTGTCCTATGTCTTTATGCTTAACGGTAGAGGCAAAGAGGGTCTAGAGGGGTCACGTACCTGGGTTTTGGATTTTTTTGGATTTTTTTTTTTTTAACAAACATAAGAAAATATTTTAAGTAAAAAAATTTATAAAAATATTATTTAGAGTGAAATGTCAATGACATTTTTTAAATTATGATAACAATAATTATTATTTTGATTGAAAATAAAGAGATTATGATAAGTCCTATTATTATTTATGAAATTTTCAATATAATGTTGGTGTCTATTATTATTGACATGCAAACATAATTAATCTCCATAAAGATATGTAATTTATTAGAATGTTAGTTACATTATGACATGTGTTGTTCATCCTCCATATATTTTTTTATTATTGGTTGGTAATATCATATGTCAATGATGACGTAATATTATTGAATTTTTACTCATATTTGATGACGTAATATTATTGAATTTTTACTCATATTTGGTATAAAAAAATTATTTTATTATTATATAATTTATTTTAAAACTTATATCCATGACTTTTTTTTATATATATTATCTATGATAAACTAGTTACAAATAATATTATTTTTTTTTTCTTGAAGTCAATCGTAAAACTTTATGTGAAATATTTCTGTAAAAATTTTCAATGTTATAATTAATAAGTACTCCATCTGATTTAATTTCTTGACTCCGCACTGTTTATCCGTGTCCGTTTCGCATCCGTATTTGTATCCATACTTCTTAACCCTTATTAATCACTATTCATTATGTCATCTCATATTTTTACAATCACTCAATATAAATAATCAATATTTTACCTTCTGTACTAATTATATTACTATGAAGTCACCACGTGACTGTATTTCAAACTACCAACTAGTCACCCAGCAATACCAAAGCGGGTTGATTTGTGTTCGGTACTGGACGACACCGTTTCTAAGACGGGTCAGCTTAAAACGTTTGAGCTTTGTTTGTCAACGTAGTGCTCTTTGTTCTCCTTAACCTCATTAGTGGTTGGGCGAGTATACAGCAGGTTATGCTGCTAGCAAAAACAACAATGATTCATCCCACTAAAAACAGGATAAGGGGTCACTGCTGTGCGTGAAGCACAGCAGTGACTGTGGTGCCTCAATTTAGGGTGTATTATGGCTTTATTTTTATGATCCAAACCGTTCATTTTGTAGGGTTTATTGAGTACTTCATGCCTACCGAAAATCATATTAATCGGATATCAAAAACTATATGATCGGTAACAAAAAAAATAACTAATAAGTTTTATTTTGAGAAATAACATAAATAATATGCAGTTCGATCATATAGTTGTTGATATCCGATTAATATAATTTTTGGTAGGCATGAAGTACTCAATAAACCCTACAAAATGAACGGTTTGGATCATAAAAATAAAGCCATAATACACCCTAAATTGAGGCACCACAGTCACTGCTGTGCTTCACGCACAGCAGTGACCCCTTATCCTGTTTTTAGTGGGATGAATCATTGTTGTTTTTGCTAGCAGCATAACCTGCTGTATACTCGCCCAACCACTAATGAGGTTAAGGAGAACAAAGAGCACTACGTTGCCAAACAAAGCTCAAACGTTTTAAGCTGACCCGTCTTAGAAACGGTGTCATCTAGTACCGAACACAAATCAACCCGCTTTGGTATTGCTGGGTGACTAGTTGGTAGTTTGAAGTACAGTCACGTGGTGACTTCATAGTAATATAATTAGTACAGAAGGTAAAATATTGATTATTTATATTGAGTGATCGTAAAAATATGATATGACATAATGAATAGTGATTAATAAGGGTTAAGAAGTATGGATACAAATACGGATGCGAAACGGACACGGATAAACAGTGCGGAGTCAAAAAATTAAATCAAATGGGGTACTTATTAATTATAACATTGAAAATTTTTACAGAAATATTTCACATAAAGTTTTACGATTGACTTCAAGAAAAAAAAATATAATATTAAAACTTAAAATTTATAATTAATAGTTATTATGTTAATTAAATTTTAGAAAAAAAATTATATGAGTCCACTTTTATAAGTGTATTTGGTATTGAGTCCAATAATTAATTTGTTTTGGTTATAAGAACACGGTTAATGAAATATATTGATGAGAAATACAATGTATTTTTTTAAAGATTTGTTTTTTTTCATTTTCACCTTTATACTTTTCTATTTTTACTTTCTCTCTATTCTCACACATGACTATTAATTGTCTCAAAAAAATTCTTGGATGCCAAAAAATTCGTCGGAGGTTGCAATCAGAAACAGTAAATGGCAGCTGTCAAATGTAGCTCAACCATTAAGTCACTCAATCAGTTGTCTACGACCCACTAAAAAAAATCTAAGAAGATTGTTATTGTTGAAGTCCTCAAATTTTAATAGGCATAATAGAAAAATGCCTAATTTTAACCTTTAGTCTGAGGCCTCAAAAATTCTTAAGCCGTTACTGGTAGTAACGCACAAGTGGACAAATAGACCTATAGATATGGATAGGGATAATATGATATTTTTTGTCATCTTTTTGGACAAGAAAATAGAGAGTTTGAAATAATTGTTCTAAAAGTTTCAAATTTGAATTTATGACCTAACAATTCTAAATTTTAATTTTATTTAGTTATTTTAGATTCAAAATCTCATTCATTTTTATCCATATAATTGAATCCCCTTTTTCACTACGCATGCCTAGCTTTTCTACTAAACTCTTTCTCGTTTGGTAAAATGAAAACTAATGTGATTTTGTTTCTTTCTATTATTTTATTTAACATATGTATCTTCGTTGATGCTAATAAATCACATATACGAAGACTTTAAGAAAGTTGCATCACTTTGGATGGGGGAGTTAATGGAAAGCAAAATCACAAGAAACAAATAAAGCCTTTTGAGTGAAAAGTGCAAACGTTGCTCCACTATGAGCATGAGTTGCATTTTATACTGGCTTTTTACATAACTACTCTCTTTTTAACCCGCAGGGTTCGATAGGTTGGTAAGGTAACGATTTGCATGATCAAAAGTTTCAGTTTCGAAGCTTATATCAACCTCTTTATAGCCCTTAACTACAATTGAGGAACCGAGGAGGGGGTTCCTTGACATTCTTCCCGAATTGACTTGTAGGGTCGGGTCATAAATGGGCCCGGCCTTGGAGGTTCCCGGTCATTAGAAAAAAAAAAAAAAAAAAATACCTACTTTCATTTTAATGTTTTGGAAGCTTTTGACTCCATTTTTTAAAAGTAATGCTTGGTAGCCCGAATATGAGGTTGGTTCGAATGACTCGAAATTCACCTTGCTGGTCGTCCGACGAGGAGGTTGACAGTCGCAGTCGACAAAGGTGATAACCGCAGTAAATAATCTTTCATCCGGTCGTCTGGGCAGACGTCTGACCAGTCATCTGGGCAGATGACCGGCCAACACCCATTCGAGCCCCCTCCAATTCAAGCTGCCACGTTTTTTCCATTTTTTAATTTGAAAATTTTGCTTTCATAATTTCATTTTTCGCATCATTTATTTTTTCTTTTAAACCTTTGGGTAGAAAATGAAAATAACGAGACTCTTTTTTTAAAATTTTTTTTTTTGGCAAAGGAAATGAGACTCTATGAGAGTAGACACCACAAAGCGAGTGATGCAGGCTGGCTGTTGTGTGGGCAACGAAGCGAATTTTGGGATGAAGAATATACAGTTTATTTGTAGACTTACTTTTTAGATTTAATGATGTATAAATAAGATACTTGATAGACGATTAAAGAAAATATAAGAGAGAGATTTGCTTTAAATATTTCAATACATTGCTACATCATTTGATTTAAAAAAAAGATTCCCAAGGGTTAGACATGGTGGATAAGGCTTGGGATTTCAAGATTTGCTCCCTCCCTTCACCAGCAAAAACTCTTGGGGG